GTGGAAAATACTGTATATATTTTCCAGAAATTCATATTTATATGTAAATAGATGGCCATACTGTATTTAATAATATTTATGTCATAGAAAACGGAAAGCCTGCATCTGAGCAGACGAGACTCCCATCTTGGTTTTTTAATTGGATACAACGTTAGTGTAATGGGAAGGAATTTCATGCTCAAGGTTAAAATTGGGCTGACCACCTCTCAAATAGGAGGTGAAATTGTTGGACATGCATTCCTGCATAACTTGAGATATCAGACGACTGGACAAGACAGCTCCAGGAACCTCAGATAAGCTCTCTAAAATTTGTGTGTAATTCTGGGCACATTATTTTCATAATTTAGTTAGAGTGAGGTTTTCTGAGTATGAAAACACATTTCATCTCCAGTCAAATTGGTGAGTGATATTTAAAATATATTTCCTTCTGTTATGTAATTGTGTATATATATAACTATTTATTATTTTTAATATACAGTCCACAAATTTATATATTTACCAGTATTTCTGGTGTATGTATATTTCATTTAATTAATAGGTCCAGAGCAACTTGTGGATATGACAGTGGTAGGTATCGAAGGGGGACATTTTTTGCGACCTAAGTGTCCCAAATTCCTACTTGTCTAACTGATAAATAATAGTTATCATAGTTCATTTACTGTTATGTATATAATTATACATCCAAGTAAATGCAATTTTCCACAACTACTACTATACTACTTCTACTATTACACTACTACTACTACTATACTATTACTGCTACTACTACTACTACTACTACGACCACCACCACTACTACAATAATGATAATACAAATAATATATTTGCTTCCACTGTTTTGCCACTAAACTTGTATCTGTTATTCTCGTGTCTGTAGAAAGAACTCAACCCCTCAAGCTATTCCTTTACGTCACGTCAAGAGTTGACGTCAATTCTCACCAGTTTCTTGACGTTAAGTCTAGACTTCCAGCTATTACTTTCGTCATGTTAACGTACGTTAAATTTGCTTAGGAAAGTTACATTAACCTATAGAAAGCATATATTTCACAAGAAATAAGCAAATACAAGGCTAGGGTGGCTGCATACGTGACAAACCAGCGGCTAAGCTGCACTACGAAATACTCTAGTGAACTGAGGTGAGCGGAAACAGTCACTTGAAAAAGCCCCAGAAAAACCAGTTAGGTTAGTTTAGATTAATTTTAGGCGGGCTTTAGTTAGATTTGCCAACACTACGTCTACCTACAAGCAAATGTGCCTTTTTCCCCCTGTGACTTTTTTTTTATTTGGATTAGAAGTAAGGTACTACTTATCCATTTGCAGGCCGAGTGCTATGTGGCTACTGACCAACTTGTATAAGTATGCGACTATCTTAAGCATTATTAAGGAAGCGAAGTTATTTATATAGTTTCTATGATGCATTAAATATCTCGATTTATTCAGACCTACATGCAGTTCATAGGTGTTTAACCTAACGAACCCACGCTTGGCTGGAGGCGCCATTGTTGCGTCATGCGTTTTCGCTCACCATGAGGCGGGCCAAAGCAGCATGGGTTCGACTCCTTGGCTAATGCAGTGTTGTTATTGATATACATGTTATATATATAAATATATATATATATAATATAATTATATATATATTATATATATATATATATATATATATATAATATATATATATATAATATATATATATATACATATATATACATATATATATATATATATATATATATATATATATATATATATATATATATATATAAATATATATATATATATATATATATTTACTTTATGGGGAAAGCTTTTTCAAGTTATCGTAACTTGTTAAAGCCAAAATTGTTGTAATAAATGTTTACGCTTTTTTGTCATTGGTTTGTCGCCTTTCCTACTTCATTATTTTCTTTACGTGGCATTTATCAACATCAATATTCATCATCCATTTATCAACATTAATATCTAATATCCATTTGCCTCTCCGCTTGCTCAACAAATCTATCTTATTCAGCATAATTTTATAACAATCTTGATTTCCTATATTTTGCATAATATATTTTGTAAGGTCCAAAAATACTCTCATATAATTATTGCTTATTTCTGGCAGGTCTGTTACGTTCATTAAAAACATCAGAACAAGAGTTGATTCTTATGGAACATCACCAGTGACTTTAAAGGTTTCTCCCAAACATAGGTTTTTACCCACTATTTTATTTAACTTTTAAGTTAATGCTGGTTTTCCATATTACTCCAAAAGAACTTTATTTTTTTTTTAATTTTGAAAACAAATTTGTTTTTCCATTACACCTGAATAGTTTTTTAAACTAAAAAGTATTAGTGTTTTTGTGACTAAAATCAAACCTGCTTATTTTTTGGGCAATTTATACTCTAAATGTTGGTCTCTTTTTCTTAATAAATTTAAACAGTGTTTCAACAATTTTTTAGTGAGGCGTCCTATATTTACGTGTTTGGTTTGTGTGGTGTGTGTGTGTGTGTGTGTGTGTGTGTGTGTGTGTGTGTGTGTGTGGGTGGTTGGGTGTTTTGTATATCATCTATTTTTTTGCTGCAGGGCCCACCCTCTAACTTCCACTCAAAAAGATTCACTCCTAACCCTCGTAGGCCCAAAATCGTACCTGCTCATAAAACTCATATGGGACCTCCCTTTTCACACTTACCAGGACCCTTTCCTTTTTCCACCACTCTAAACTGAAGAATTATTCCAAACACCCGTGCTCATTTTTGCCTTAAATTTCAATGATATCCCCGAGTTTTTCCTTTCTTGCCTTGTAAAAAGCCTATCCCTGTCTATCTTATCAATTCACCTGGTTTTCTGTCATTTAATATTGTAAGGGCCAATTTCCCTTTAGCCTCTCTTTTTTAACCCTTTCCCCTTCGTTTTAGGACCGGCTTGTTTTGTACTTTTGTTTTCTCTCCCGTTTTTTTAAAAATGTTTTTTTATTTTCCCTGGGTGGGTTCCAAACTGGTGCTGCATACTCCAAAAATAGCCCAACCTTTTAAAATAAAGGACCCGGGAAAGACCCGTATTGGGGATTCCTGAAGGCTACTTTTTAATTTTTCCAACGAGCAAAAGGCGGCAGAGGTTATCGGCTAAAAATGAACCTCTGGGGTTATACTGGGCACTATGCTCCCCCTAGGTCTTTTCCCTTTTAGTGAAGTCCCGCAAATTCCGTCCCTTCCCAATCTATTCTCCGTTTTGGTCTTCTTGCCCCCCTTATTTAATATTCAAGAAACTTGCCCCTTACTTGAGCTGAATTTAAGGGGAAACCCCTTTTCTGACCACCCTTTTTAAATTTTTTTCCCTCCCTTTAGAGCCTTTCCCTTTTCCTTGTCTGTCTTTTTTTTCCCCGGGTTTTTCAAAGAGGGATATATCTGAATTTTCATCGGGGGTGGTTTGGTTTCTCCCAAAATGTTTTTTAGGGAAATTTATTCAAAAATTTCCCGGTCCGCCTCTGCCGTGGTCGCCAAATAGGGGCCCCCCGCCCGGCTTAAGACCTTTTTTTAAAACCCCACCTCTTCTTGAAGTTATATAAGGTTTCCCCCCTCTGCCCCTTCACTCTCCACTTGTTTTCCCCTTCCTGGCAATTCAAAAGGGTTTAAAAAAAATACTTCCTAAAAATCCCTATTAAAACCTCAACTGGTTTTCCTTATCGAGCTGTGCCCTTTTTTTTTTTTTCCTCCCCACTTCAATTTTTCTGTTCCCATTCCCCCTTGTCAGTTTTTCTTGTATTTTGTATGTTACATTTTCCCCCTTATTTTTCCTTTTTCCCGTTTATCAGGTTGGTTTTCCCTTTAAACCCCTTTTCCCCCAGGACATATCCTTAGCTTCGGGATTAGTTTTGGGAAACCTTTTTTAAACCTTTTTTTTCCAAATTTTTTGATAGCTGATCAGGTTTTGCTTTCCCCCTACTGGTCTTTTCAACTCCAGTATGGGCCCGACTACACAGTGGGGCAACAGTGTCCGGAAAAGACTTCTTGGGTGTCAAAAAGCAAATTTTTTAAAATTTCCCCCGTTTCGCTTTGCTACAAATAGTTATTTTGGGTTTTTGTTTGCCTCAGGTTTGGGATGTCAGTATGTGCCCTTTTAACCCCCCAACTTTTCCCCGTTTTCGTCCTTTTCCTTTGTCTTCTCTGTCCTTTCCCCCCACAGTTTTTCTCTGTCCCTTTCCCCCCCAACTTTGCATTTTGGGGGGTTTTTTTTAATCCCCGGGGCCCCTTCGTCAGACCAAACCCCGTCTTTTCCCCAAATTAAATTTTTTAGCCCTTCCCTTGCTTGTTTTTCTCATTAGTTTCCCCGTTGGGCTGCGAACAAGGACACCTCGGACTTTCCCCTCCGTCATGTCATTGGCGTTTACAAGAAACAACACTGGGCCTAGGACTGATCCTTGTGGAACCTCACTCGTCACATGGACCCATTCCGAAACCTCTTCGAAGACCATCACTCGTTGTTTCCTTCCTGTCAGGTATGCCTTGATCCATCGCAATGTTTTTCTTGTTATTCCTGCCTACTCCTCTAGGTTTTGTACCAGTCTCTTGTGCGGTACTGTGTTAAAAGCCCTTTTGCAGCCCAAGAAAATACAATCTACCCATCTATTTCTAGCCTGTTTTGCTTCTGTTACCTTGTCGTAGAACTCAAGTAGGTTTGTGACAGGATTTCTCGTCAGTGAAGCTTTGCTGGTTGTCATGTATGAGTCTACTTCTTTCTAGGTGCCTAAGGTGTGAGCTCTTTGTGTACTTACCTATTTGTGGTTGCAGGGGTCGAGTCGAAGGTGTGTGTGTGTATGTGTGTGTGTGTGTGTGTGTGTGTGTGTGTGTGTGTGTGTGTGTGTGTGTGTGTGTGTGTGTGTGTGTGTGTGTGTGTTAGTTACTAGTTGTCAAAGGAACTTGTCGATGGACACTTGGCCTGTGGTGCAATTGTTTGTTTGTGTGTGTAAGAATATGTAAGTTTGTATATCTGTATCAATAACATGTGTTGGTATATGTAGGTGTAGAGAACGGCGCAGAACAAGATGACCGTGTCAGCGGTGGTCATCGTGGTGGTGATGGTTGTGGGTTGTGCCACCTTGACACACGCTGGCGATATAATTGGCACTTGTGAGTAAAAAGTATTTTAATTATCTTTACTGTAGTAAATGGTCCGACTTGTACCATTTACAAGTCATACTTCGTCGTAAGCTCCTCTCTCCTATGTGTGGTTATTTGTGTATGATAAAATTACACATATGCAACATCTGGATTTATATATATGTATGTATATATATATATATATATATATATATATATATATATATATATATATATATATATATATATATATATATATATATATATATATATATATATTTGTGTGTGTGTGTGTGTGTGTAACAAATTTTCAGCAATAATATAATATTTTTAAAGCATTATAAGGATTTCAAATATTTATTGGCAAGTGAAATACAGTATATAAATTGTCTTCAAACTTTGAGTTTCAGCATTTTAAAATAATCTGCTTATTTATTGTCTATAACAACATTACTTCAACACTTGCAGCGCTGTTAGAGTCATACAAGACTGTGCTGCTGGAGCAAGATGTGACGATGCCCAGGGAAGAACTGATCACAATCCTCTCGTCCTTCGTAGAAAACCTCCGTGTACGACAAATAATCAACGATGACAGCACTTGGTTCTTTATCAGAGGCAACTTAATCTCAGCTATCCACCTCCTATCTTCCAGCGAAAGTGCTGCTGTTGCTGCTGCCCGTCAAATTGTCCGGTTCACCTTCAGATGTTTTGGTCCGCCTTTACAGACGACATTGTAAACGAGAGAAACTTAGGAATTGGAGCAGCGCTGTATAGCCCTTGTGGTTTAGCGCTTCTTTTTTATTATAATAATAATTAGGAATTGGATGCAAGATCTAGTGCCTTTCATGCAGCATTTTCTCGCTCTTATTTTCATTAACATAGACGTTGATCTATAATGCAACATATCAATAATTTTCCAAATTTGATACGATGTAATGAGGAAAGAAGTAAAAAAAGAAATTTCTCGAAATTTATGCTATGAGAATGTAATAATACCCAGTCACTCGGCCTAGGGATCTTCTATATAAACACGTGGATATACAACACATGTAAGTGGATCAGCAACTATGCTGACATATAAAGTACTTCCAGTTATGTGCAGACTTATGTTAAACATCTTCACATTGGTGAGAAATGCAATGAAAGTAAAAGATTTTGCCTCGGTACAAAAGCTGAGAAAGGAGGTCTCGGATGAGTTTGCTAGAGTACCTAAAAAGAACAACCACAGACGCCCACGCATGCGCCCGTCCACGCACACACTCGCGCACATACGCTCACACAAGCTGATAAACACCTCACTTTTTTATTAGGCCAAACTTTTCCTATTTTACATTTTCTTGGCAACATTTTTTTTTCGTTGTCTTGGAAAGGAATAAACCTACAATTACAAGGAAACATTTGAGATGCAAATACTTTTCAAAGATATGGTGAAAAAAAAAGACTAGACCAAAATTTCATTTGAAATTTTATATTTGAGCGAGTTTCAAAAATTTCCAGCGAAAAATATATCATGCTTGTCTCTATCAAAGTATGAAGAGACTAAATATTTTCAGTGCAGTCAGAAAATAGGTCCCAAATTCTTATAGGAATTGTATAGTTACTCTGAATACTCGTATTATTATTATTATTATTATTATTATTATTATTATTATTATTATTATTATTATGATTATTATTATTATTATTATTATTATTATTATTATTATTATTATTATTATTATATACGTGATTTTTAATTAAGTTGTAGAGTATTTTTATATTTAATTTCCTTCGTGGGAGTTTGTTTAATTGCTACGAAGGGTTTTGATTCGAGGAACTGGAGTTATCATTAGAGCTTCCCATGAATATAATAAAAATTATATTTACTACATATATTTTTCTAGTCAACTAATGCCAAAATTATTTAGTTTTGTATTTTGTATTCAGATCAGTAACATTATAATTGTGTTCCTTATTGTCTAAATTAATAATAATTTGCTTAATTGATTTTTATTATTAAAATAATGGTGCACAACATCGACAATGTAGGTATAAGGTTCGTCAGGAAACAGTGTTTCCTGACGCAGGTCTTAGTCACATGATGCCCCGCAGCTGGAGCTTTTGGTCATCTGACCGAGGCCTTCGGCTGGGTTACCCGCTCACCCCTTTAAATATTATAGTCACTTCTACAAGATGATGAATTAGACACGTGTAACATCCGGATGTATTTATGTGACTTCATCAGAGGTATTTTTGCGTTTTTAATTAATCCACCGGTTGGCGAAAAGTTCTCAAATAAACATTACTCAGGTACTGCACGTGTGTTTTATTTTTTTGAGCTTTGCTGGAAAATTAGACTAAGTTATATATTTCAGTCTTTACCCTTTTGTTTTTTTGACTTGACACTGCACTTGCTTCTCTTTTTATTCACTGAATGAAATTTATATTAATCATTTTGTACACATTTCTATAAATTATGCAGTTATGCTTATAAATGTATATTTATCTAAACGCTTTCTTTTCATTCCTTTTAGTTATATATATATATATATATATATAAGGCCGAAGGAGATTAGTGTTCGTGATTGGTTCGCTTGGTGATTTCAACCTAAGGCATACAAATTGGAAGAATGTAGCAAATAATGTTATAGCTGAAACAATCCCCGGAGGTAGCGCAGATGAAAGGTCACACACACATGAGCTACTAAGTCTCTGCGAAAAACACACCTTAAGCCAGCAGATAGTGGAGCCAACAAGACTAGAAAACACACTTGACCATATCTTCACAAATAATGAGGACCTGATAAGAGACATAAGAATATAAAAAACAACTAATTCCGATCACAATCTAATCGAAGTCCAGATGTACATGCATGGGGGTCCTGATCAGCAGAATGCATGTACCTGTGAAGGTGCCCTTCACAAAATACAACTTCAACAACAAGAACATCAACTGGACCAGGTAAACCATGTCCTAAATGAAACATGTTGGGAAGATGTCTTAAATGACATGGATCCAAAAACCATGCCTTGAAAGGATCAACTTCCTGGTAGCCGAAGCATGTTCTAGGCATATTCCCCTAAGAAAGAAAAAGAGCAGGAGTAAACTGGAGAGAAAAAGACGCTCCCTCTACAGAAGAACGAAGAGTCACTGAGCTCCTCAGGAGTGCTAGAATATCTGATACACGAAAGGAGGCGCTGACCAGGGAAGTGGAAACTATCGAACTTAAGCTAAATGACTCTTACAGGAACCAGGAGAGGCAGGAGGAGCTTAAAGCTATTAGTGAAATTGAAAGAAATTCAAAATATTTCTTTTCATATGCCAAAAACAAGGCAAATACCACATCTAGTATCGGGCCCTTACTCAGACAGGATGGGAATTACACAGATGACAACAAGGAAATGAGTGAAATATTGAAATCTCAGTATGACTCTGTGTTTAGTGAACCACTAATCGGTCTGAGGATCGACGACCCAAATGATTTCTTCATGAATGACCTCAAAGCTCCATAAATGTATGCCAGATTTCCGACATTACCCTAACTCCGATAGATTTCGAAAAAGCCATTGACAACATGCCTATGCACTCAGCCCCGGGCCCTGACTCGTGGAACTCTGTTTTCATTAAGAACTGCAAGAAACCCCTCTCGTGTGCCCTAAGTACACTATGGAGGAGGAGCTTGGACATGGTGAAATTCCACAGTCACTTAAAACAACGGATATAGCCCCACTCCATAAAGGTGGCAGCAAAGCATTAGCTAAGAACTATAGACCAATAGCTCTGACGTCCCACATCATAAAAATCTTTGAAAGAGTGCTAAGAAGCAGTATTGCAAATCACCTGGATTCCCAAAATCTGCACAATCCAGGGCAACATGGGTTCAGGGCAGGTCGCTCCTGCCTCTCACAACTACTGGATCACTATGACATGGCCTTGGATGCACTGGGAGAAAATCAGAATGCAGATGTAATATACACAGACTTTGCAAAAGCATTTGGCAAATGCGATCATGGCGTAATAGCCCATAAAATACGTGCTAAAGGAATAACTGGGAAAGTGGGGAGATGGATCTTCAACTTCCTAACAAATCGAACACAAAGAGTAGTGGTCAACAGAGTTAAAATCGGAGGCTGCCATAGTGAAGAGCTCTGTTCCACAAGGCACAGTACTCCCCCCATCTTTTTTCCTTATCCTCATATCAGACATAAACAGAAATATAACACCAAAAGCACCGTATCATCCTTTTCGGATGATACTAGGATCTGCATGAGGCTGTCATCTGCGGGGAAACGCGGTTAACCTCCAAGAAGATATAAACAAAGTTTTCCAGTGGGCAACGGTAAACAATATGATGTTCAATGAGGACAAATTCCAACTACTCCGTTATGGAAAACTGGAGGAGATAATAACTAGAACAGAGTATACTACTGACTCCGGCCATACAATAGAGCGAAAAAATAATGTAGGGGACCTGGGAGTAGTAATGTCTGAGGATCTCACTTTCAAGGATCACAACAGTGCCACAATCGCACGTGCAAAGAAAAGGATAGGTGTAGACAGCCTGTACTGTCTGCACAGACAGCCCATGCTGTCTGCCAGCTTAGTTCATATTTTGTGCCACTCAGGTGCCGCCCTCTGTAGCCAGGCCTCTAGGTAGGCACGCCACCCTGCCGGCCCATGTCTCTCCCTCACTCCTAGGCCGACCGACTTGACAGACACAAGTGCTCCCCCTCCACGGACTGGCTTGCGGTCACTCCCTCACACTGCCCGTTGTGTACTCACTCCTACCCAATTAAAGCCAAACTAGTCCACGGCCGTATCATTGCTACCTACGCTACCTCCATCGGCACTAAACCGTTGTTCAGCAGAAGAACAGAAATAACATAGGATGGATAATGAGAACTTTCAAAACGAGAAATGCCAAGCCCATGATGATCCTTTTCAAATCACTTGTTCTCTCTAGGCTGGGATACTGCTGTACATTAACATCTCCATTCAAAGCATGTGAAATCGCAGATCTAGAGAGTGTACAGAGATCCTTTACTGCACGTATAAGTTCTGCCAAGCACCTTAACTACTGGGAACGCTTGGAAGCACTTGACTTGTACTCGTTGGAACGCAGGAGGGAGAGATATATCATAATCTACACTTGGAAAATCTTGGAAGGAATGGTCCCAAATCTGCACCAAAAGAAATCACTCCCTACGAAGGTAAAAGACGGGGCAGGCGATGCAAAATGCCCCAATAAAAAGTAGGGGCGCCATTGGTACACAAAGGGAAAACACCAAAAGTGTCCGGGGCCCAAAACTGTTCAACAGCCTCCCATCAAGCATTAGGGAATTGCCAATAAACCCCTGGCTGCCTTCAAGAGAGAGCGGGACAGATACCTAAAGTCAGGCCGGATCAGCCGGGCTGTGCTCGTACATTGACTGCGTGCGGCCAGCAGAAAACAGCCTAGTTGATCAGGCCCTGATCCATCGGGAGGCCTGGTCATGGACCGGGCCGCGGGGGCTTTGATCCCCGGAATAACCTCCAGGTATATATATAATATATATATATATATATATATATATATATATATAATATATATATATATATATATATTTTATATAATATATATATATATATAATATTATAAAAATAGGGAGGTACCACCTCTAGAATTGTCCTGGGGACCCTCATCCTCAGAGAAAAGAATAAACTTGCTTCAAGGAAAGCTCAAGGTTCTCCCTGAAGCTATTTGAGAATTTTCCCCTACCACCCCCTATATTTAATATATATATTTTATTTACAGACAAAATACATTGATAAAACATTCACAAAAATACAATAGATAACTCAGAGCTACATCTTGAATACTTCGTCAAGCTCCCCGGTGGTGGGCCACGTGCCCAGAATGCTGCAGGCATTTCCTCTCTGGCTCGCAACACTGATCCTCTGAAAGAGGAAGCTGGTCGCCCTGTGGTCCTTGGTTTCTATGATGAACTTTTCACCCAGCTCTTTGAGGAACTTTAGAGCACACTTGCCTCATGTTCCAAGGGTCTCCGACCCTATTGGGATGAAGTTATAGCAAGGGGAAAGGTCTTCATATCTGCAGATCTTCTGGGTCTCCCTGTGGTTGGCAACTCCACCCCCTTCAGCTACAGAGTATGGCAAGTAGGTGTCTGCCAATGTGGTGGCACAGGTGTAGTCCCAGGCAATCTGCTTTCCATCCTTCCAGGGTAGCATAGTGGCTCATCAGGACGCTTTTGATTTCTTTCAGACCTCTGCACTTGGGGTTCCCGTTTAGCTGGGCAACGGGCTGTGGCGAGGCTTCTCTTTATGATGTCATTGACCTCCTCATGTCTGGCATACTTCCTTTCTGCTGTGTGACACATGAGACCATGAAGTCCGAATTGATCAGCTGTCGCACTGCCGCAAATACACCTATATTCGGTGAGGATGGAGGCGGCTAGGCGAAGAGCAACACCAATCCGAATGGCCTGTGGGTCGAGTCGAGTACCCAGGGAGGAATTAGGAACAGCTAGCAGGAAATCTGAGTGTGGTGCCTTCACCGCCAGGAGACAAGCTTTGTCCTTTCCTGAAGCGTTGGTGAGCATGGTGTTGGCGATTTTTTCCATGATCTGTTTGTCCCAATGGGACTGTTTCTGTTTGTGCTCTTTGGGAGGAGCTGGTCAACTGGAGGAGTCTGTAAGGGTGTCTCACCGCATCGCTGCTTCAGTAAACCTGGGGTCTTGAGCTCCTAACCAAAAATAACGGATTTAAATTAATCAAGCATGAAGTTAACCATCAAAACACCTCTAAATCAAAAGAGAAACCTGGTTTGAGAAAACAGCAGTCCAGGACAACAACAACAACAACAAAAAATGTGGTAAAATCCTGACACTTCATATATGAGAGTTGGAGAACATAAAGACAATCGAAAAATTCTAAACTAAATGTACCTAAATAAACTTAGTAGATGTACCTAAATAAACTTACTTATCTACTTATTGTTACTTACCATTATTTAATTTTATTCACTATTGTGGAAATTTATTTGGTCCCTAAAGTTCCACAGGACAGATACGGCATACAAAAGGGGTCCCAGAATGGCCGTAATGGAATGGCTGAGCTGGGTGGCCCTTAAACCCACCCAAACAAAAAGCGTTCTCCGAGTTGGCGTGGTTGGTAAGCACTATTTAAGTTATAGATTTACCCTTCAGGGAAGGAGTAGGTAGTTTTACTGGTAGTACACTAATATTAGGTTTACTAAGGCAACTGTAGATAATAATAATGTAGACCTAAGACCTTAACATAGGTAGTAATAGGCCGATAATGTAGGCAAACACTAGGTTAAGTTAGCTAGGGAGAACTGGCAGCCCTAGCTTGAAGGATGAGGCGCGGGTCTGGAAGACACGAGCTCTCCCTTCTGTAGACAGACACCAACTGGACAGCACGTGCCGTGATCAACAGACGGCGCCC